GATGTCCAGAGTGGCTAGTTTAATTTCAAGCAAGACTTCTGGATCTTGGACATGTCAGGTTCCCTTGTCATCTGGAAAGGACAGATGCAAAATTCTCCCGTATAATTCTCTGGAATTAATGCAATAATTACAACCCATAAGGGAGGATAGAAAAACAAGAATGTTGTACCATGAAAATAGAGTATTCTCAGGATCAGCCTGACTCATATATTCTGTGAAAATTTGAGAAATGGCAGATGATTTGCCATTTCACTAAATTTAAATACATTGAAATTGAAAAAAAAACCTTAATCATGAGTGTAACACTCATTGTTTTCATTATGAAGTGTGATGTAATCTAGAATAAGTCCAGCCTTTGGGTTTGAAATACATTTCTGTAAAACATAGCACATGCTACCTGTTGTTCCAATACATTTGAGTGAAATTTATTTGGCATTTATTTTAGATTATAAATGATTTGGCAATTCAGTCTCCCTTTATTTTCCTCTTCTACTATTTAAAACTCTTAATTAGAATAATTTCTTTAATTAAAGTTTTTAAATATGCCCTTTTGCAAATTTTCTCACACTTACACCAAAATCCCCAACTCTGGCATGTATTTAATAGAAGATTAGGAACATAGCTACTTACTATACTTATTGCTGGTTATTATTTAGGCTATATTATGCAATTCTATTATTATAAATAGCAAAAAAAAATAGTAAATTGCCTCTATTGCCTTTTTCTTTTTTGCTCTTACTGAAATAATTTGTGTACTCAGGCCTTTCATATAGAATAGCAAAGTCAAAATGCCTTCAGATATTGAAAGATTATCTCCATATTGAGATTTAGTGGTTCTCACTTGAAAATGCTCAGCGTGAAACATAGAAAGCATTGGCTGCCAAAACACTTAAGAACTGATTGCTTAAGATTCACACTTCTTCCTCCCCAGTATGTTTTTCACTTTGGATGTTTTATATGAAGAGCTGGGTTTTTTCCCCCCAAAGCAAATTAAAATCTAAGAAGAAAAACACATACTGGGAAAAAATGGGAGTAATCATCTCAGTTCTTGTTGCCACTGCAGGAACTTACAAACTATGGCCTAGAACAGAGGTTCTCAACCGGTTTCATTTCAAGGTACAGATCTCCTCATAGGTAGAACTTTTGGCCCACAGAACAGAAATTCTGTGGTGTCAGAGGTTGCATAAAGAGAAATAGAGGAAGTCTAGTGATATCATGGGAAGTGGGGTTCTGGCTGATATAGCATACCTGTGGATATTTTGCAACACATTTTACTGCCCTAGATGCTCACATCGATTTTCTGGTTGCCTGCAAAGGTTTGTTCATGCTATAGCATGTGTTAAATATTTTGTACATCCCCTAAATTAGCAGGTTGGCCTTCAACAAACCGATCCTAAGCCACTTTCTCTTTTAAGATTTTTTTTACTGTAATATTATAAAGACTTGGCTGGTGCATGTTGCTTGAATTTTACTTGTGGTCAGTCAGTTTTATTTCTTTTCTGACAAGAGATGCAACCTGACAAAATATTCAACGGCATGCTTTCCTAGACATGAGCCAATATTGTTTCTAAGCAAGGATTCTAACTTCTCTTCCTGGTTTTCCACTTCTTTTCCATCCAATATTCAAATTAATGGCTGAATTTACTTAGGCATAATGGGACCTGATAGAAGAGAGTACCTGCAATTCGGAGTTAAGCTGTGAGATCCTCAGTGCTCTCTGAGCTTATAGGCTTTCTTGCCAACATTTCATTACCAAATTAGGTAACATCATCAGTGCACTAGTCTTACCTGAAATGAAACGTCTGCAAGAAAATCCACCAAGCTCAGAGAACATCAAGGACACCATAAAAGTCCTTGTTTTGAGTATTGCATTTGTTTCTTCAAGAATGCTATTGTTTTTAATTCTTCAGCCTTGGCTACAATGGTTATTGAGTCTGGGAAGTTTGGGAAGCATCTAATTATGTAAGGCTGCTGTTGTCCTTTACTATGTGAGATGAATCTTAAAGGAGAAATTAACTTGTATGTATGTTTTTGTTTAAACAGATAAATGCAGAAGGAACACCAGAGGAAGTTTTTCTTGAGATATGCACTTCAATCAATACTTTTCTGAAGAAGGAATAGCATCACTTTCAAAATTTAATGTAGTGGCAGTGCTGTAACACATACATGCATAGTGTCCTTTACAAATGCTGTTCAAAGAAAGAGCTGCTGCCTTGAAAGATTAATGCATGTTGTAAACATTGTAAAAATCTTTGTAACTTAAATGGTACCGTAATGATACATGTGTACTTTATATGGCCTATGACAGTTTGCAGTTCACAGGTTTAAAAAAGCCAGCATGATATAAACAGCAGCTGAGTTTTATAGAACACACACATTCTTCATTTCACTACAAGACATACTATAGTCAAGCACAGTATTCCCTGTCAGTAGAAGTGCTGTAACAGTGAATTTGCTGCTGAACCCAAATCAATTTTTGAGGCTATTTAAGCTTGCTTTTTTTGTAGTGCTGAACAGTCTGTTTTCTGTCATTTTCTTTTACAAGAACATGTCTGCAATTTAGTTTGCAATCATTTACACACCAGATAGTGGAATTGAGACTCACAAAAAGAAGCGTGATTTGCAATACATGAACCAAATGTGAAATAACTGTGATTGCAAGACCAGCTGCTGTATCCATCGTACAAATATCCTATGAATATCCTATGTAGTTATGGTTTGAAAGATTTTTGATTTACAATGCTAACAGAGGGATAGTGTCTGCAGAAAAGGAAAAAAAAGTGCCAAATATTGCTTATATCCTTAAGATGGATAGATTTAGAGTTCATCATGGCAGTGTCTGAATATAAAAAAATTAACGTGCATTTCAAAAGACTACAGGCAATAATTGTCTCTATGTACTGATTGCTGTGACAGCTACATATAGCAATTATCAGCTTTAAATCTTTTAATTTGCTTGGCATTTAACATGATGGGAAATTTAAGACGTAAATGAGCAGTGTTAAATTCAGATTTTCACTTTCCACATGCGTGTATGCAGACACACCCACTTCTTGATGACTGAAATAACCGAGGTTTTTTTGGAATGTTGATCAACAGACAAGAAAAATTTACAGTCTGTACAGCTGCCTCCTTTTCTTTGGCTGTCCACTATTTTTTCTTGCATGCTAGATCCTATCAACAGTTGCATTATCAACAAGCAATTCAGCAAATTTGTATTTTTCAACCTACTACTCTTGTATGAAAAGGTAATAAAAATAAAATGTATGGACAAATGTTAAGGGTAATCAGATTTACTCTTCGTATTTAAGGCTCCTGCAAAACAAATAGGTATCCAATCCAAAGGCACATAAAAACATTTTCACTTAATTGGGTGCAGAGTTTTGAATTTCGAAAACTTTTATGGTTGTGTGGTTATGAGCATCCCTTTCAGGTCTTTTTGATGATAGTCGCCCACTAAGAAACTGCACTTTCAAAACAAGAGTGTTGTATTTAAAGACAAAATTCGACAGAAATCTCAAAAAATATTAACATTTAAAACTACAAATTTGAACTGTTTGACAAGAACCATATAAAAATCAGGTTTGCACTTTGAGCAAGAACCCTAAAATCTCTACACTAAGGGCAGTGGGAAACAAGATTTTAAATTCAAAGGGCAGTTGAAACTTTGCTGAAAATGTATCAAAACAATCTTTATTATGGTCATAGACCAGCATAAGGAGGATAGGGTACAGTCAATTGCTGAAAACGTGTAACATATAGTTTCTCACTTCTGAAAAGCAATGTATAGTCAGAAGTCTGTCTGGAAAAACAGCTTTTATCAATGAAAATTTCGGAGACAACCATCTGCTTTTTCCAGTAAGAATTTAGATTTGTAAAGCCAGGAAAACATGTTTTGAACAATTGAGAATGAAGGAATGAGATAATTATCATTGGCTTGCCACATAAATTTGCTTGGAATGTATATGGCTTACTCTGGAATCAGTGTTTGCCTTAAGGAGTTGTGGAAAACACTCTGAAGCTAAAATTATGTCCCCAAATATCCTATTTCAGGGAAAGACTGCAAGATAGAGGTTAGAATGGGCCATTTCATTGAAAGTTGATTATTTTCCAAAAGGGAATGCTTTCCACATTGGAAAGTTTTAACTTTAGAACATTTTTTACCTCTAGAGGCTTGTTTATAGAAAAACCTAAACTCAGTATGATCACCTGAACCAATCTTCTATCTAAAGGAGATAGAAAATGAGTACTTAGAACATGCCCATATGACAAACCTGGAATATGTTAACAAACCTAATGCTGTATCAGAAAGTAGCATCTGGGTGCAGAGAATATATAAACTGATAATTTGAAATAGATCTGCATTAGATACTCATTTTCCAAAGCATTACAATTTTGCTACCATTTATGAGAAAAGTGAAATACATCAGGTATATGGTTTTATATTATATATATTCTGATTTATTAAATTTCTCAAGAATGAGATATGTTTACAGACGATGTCATTAAGAAATGATACTGCATCATCTATTCATTAAAAATGCTTCAACTCCTCTAACAGAAAGTGAGTATACCTAAACAAAATGTGAAAATTAATACTGAAATTAAGCTCAAATTAATGCTGTTATTAAACGAGCCAGCCAACTCCTTGTTAGTTACTGCTGTAGTTTAATTTAAACACATATACTAAATTACTTCCAAAATTCAAGTTTTTTTTTAAAGCAAGTGGAAATCTAATACAGTTAAAATAAGTCGCATTTCCGGATCACAACTTACACATGTTGAAATGATATATTAACTAAAAATATATAGTAAATGCTACGAAGCTTTTTCAGTCATTGCTATTCTCCACCTAGTAAAGCGTACCAAAATGTCTTCTTTATTTCATAAAGACAACGGAGAAGGGGGATGGATATGCAGAACAAGGACACGGAAGTACACAGAAATAAAAATAATCAAACAGGTTACAGAGAAGTCTTATGGGCATTTTTGAGATGATCTTCTTCCACGTAATTGATTCCCCATTTGTTTCAACAACGGAAAGAGCTTTGAAAAGAGCATTCCTTTGGCTGTGCAAATCTGCTCCCACACAAGTGGTGCATCTGAGAGTTAGAGCATAGATAAGGTTGTGTACAGAATTTAGTGGACGTGTTCAAAACAGGGTGCTGGAGCATTATCCTGGGAAAGGTGACGAAAAGCAGCAAGGCAAAAGATGAAGGTGAGGCACCCCTTCTCTCTACGGCCTAATTCATATTCTCACCTTCTTCAGAAAAAAAGTCACGGTAACCATTCTATATATAAACAGACGGTAGCCACAGTTTATTTCTCACAGTTCTCCTGACAACTGAACATTATTTAAGAACAGACTGTATACACAGATAAGAAGAAACATACAAAATGTTTTAAATGATGCACAACAAAATCCAGCAGTATAAAAGAATGCATGTGAAGTCTTGCTCACTGTTCAGGCTAAATTTAATCACCTTGTTTAAATAGTAATAAAAATACAATCTTTCATGGACCTTGTGCATACTACAAAAAGAGGAAAATTATTACCATATATGATTTATATTAGGCAGTTTTCTTTGATGAGTTGCATTAACAACTCTAAATACAGAGGCAGAAGACTGTGTATTCCGTAAGAGTTAATGGGGATTTAGAAACTTTACACAGTTACTACCACTGGCACTTCTCACCATAGCTTTGTACACAACACATGGTCATTTTATATAACATTACATTTAAAAATATATCTGCATGACAATTTATAATATTCACACACCATGAGCTGGTTAAGGAAGCAGTGCCACAGTTGCCTCCTGTAGTGCTTCACTCTCGGTAAATAAGTTTGTGGTAAAAGGGAAAATAAAAGAGGTAAAAGAAACATCTACGTAATTAAGCAGCTCCAAGGCCGATCATGACCACCCCTGGGACAGTGATTGTTTTATGAGTAGGTTCCTAGAAGCAAACACTGCCACAAGCTAAAACTTTGCTGAAAGAAATCAGTTTTTGTGCTGGAGACTATTTTCCACAACAAAACTGCAAACTATTAAACTGTTTCAATGTTAAGTATTTCATCACCTGTTCATCGCACAATAGCCAAGTTCTTTAAGCCTCTGGACTATGTTTAATGTGTGCTTTCTTTTCTGGCCACACTTTTGTAACTCATCTCTTGGACTTTTCTTTTTCTTTTTAAAAAAAGGACTAATGGAGTGAAGAAAATCTGCCCGGTACAGCCACCTGCACACTAGGAATGTTCAACCTCTATTTAGTGATTTAGTAACAAGACGGATCAGAGAGCTGTATTTTGAGAAGGGCACCTGGGAAGCTCTCATGCAGTGGATGACATTCCTGGGAAAGTACATGTCTTTCCAAAGTGGGCACAGAATCAATTACTGTGCCGCTGTTGGGTTTTCAGAAGTGACACTATGTTTCAGGTTGCACATCTGCTTTCCTTGTCATCTATTGGCAGGAAAGTAGTTGGGGTCAAGATAATTATAGCTGGGGCCTTGGGACATGCAGTAGTCTCTATCTAAGAACATTTCTGCTCTGTAAATAGGCTCCAATCGGTGATTTTCCTTGTGAATATCTGTTTCATGCAGACTGAAAGAAAAAGAAAAACCATTATTTGTGAAGCATGACACTGTTCATAATCTACTCACTATTTTAAACTGGATATATTTAAATTCTTATCAGAATGAATTGTATAAATCAGGACGGTATGTTTTTCAACATGAATTTCTATCCATGGTGCTAATCGCTTTTAGAAAAATAATATTCCTACTGTGGAAAGGAAGAAAGAAGCAGGGATCCAAAGAAATTAAGATATGGGATAAGAAAAAGCCAGTACCTAACTGTACTTTTCCATACTTTTCTATCCTTGCAAACCCTCCTTTTTCCATGTTTGTATACTTGCTTTGTACATCACTTTTTGTTTCTTTGAACTTCTCATCTCTTTATTTGAAGACCTCATCAACTTCATCTAACTCCATCAGTCTTAGTCATTTCCTTCCTCTCAGCTCATTCGTTTTTCTTTTATGTATTTGTTTTGCAAGTCAATTCACATTCATTCTCTTTTACTACCAACCACTTCAAAATGTTTCTTTTGTACCGATCACTCACTTCTGTCTTTAATCCAAATTCATTCAGCATCCATACAGGCTCTACCTTTTCCTGTTTAGCCCACACATTTTTTGTACTGCATTCAGCTTGGTTTTATTCTTCTCCCAAGATATAATATCATGGAAACATATTCTCATATATAACTTTTACTTTTTCTTGACATTCATCTCTTTCAACCAATAACTTCCAGTATCTTTCTCCCAGCATCTGCACATCTTAACATTTCTCTATTGCTTTTCTAATTTTTTGTAAATATCCTACATACTTTCCCATTTTTAATATATTTTGCACATATTTATCTACTTTTCCCAGTACCTGCTTTTTACATATTTACAGTTAAGTTGCAATAGTTCCCCCCAACGTACATTTCTCCTTGGACCTTCAATATGTTACTTTTTAGGTCCAAACTTGTGATTGCATCACACAATATATCTAATACAAAAACTTAGGATTTATTCAGCCAATAAGCATGCACACCAAGAATATGCACAATTATATCCCCTACAAATATGTATTTAAAATTATCACAAATATCCTTATATATTCCAAAGAGGTTATGAACTCTACAATATGTGTTTTAAAATGAACATTTAAAAATAAAGGTCATGTTATTGGTCAATCCTGATCTTCAGTGCATGCTGCTTACCAGTCAGAACAAGAATCACAAAAATCCAAAGACAGTTCTGGAGGGCAGTCTTGGCAGTGCCACCGAATGCCTTGAATTGGATCAGTTCCACAGTTATCACACTGAAAAGAAATTTAGCAAAGTGATCTTAGCGATTCCCCTCCAAAAATAAACAGCTTGCAAGATACTTTTACCACATAGCTAACATTACTGCAAAATAAAATTATTAGTTTCCCCCCTTTCTCAACTTTATGACAAAACAGCCACCTATAAGCTTATACGTCAATATTTCAAACTTAGTTTGCAACCAGTTTCTTGGTTTTGACTCTTCTCAGCTTTTCCAATTTTTTTGTCATTCACAATTTTTTCTGCCTCCTCCAACTAAACTCTTCCTCTTTTCATTCGCCTGCAAATTCCTATATTTTACTCCACCGTGCTACAAATTTGCTTTCATCTCTCCCATTCCTCCTGTATTAAATTCATTTAATGACTAAGGAAGAAAAAAAGAAAATGTTTCTATTATCTTCTAATTTAAGTTTCACTGAGAGTGGCAAGTGATTTCAGATTCAAATTTAATTATCACTGTGATATAAGCAAATAGCATATTCTTTTCTCTGATTTTCAGATATCCATATTATCGAAGACAAAAAACTTCAAAGGAAATCTAAGACGTTCAATTAGCCATCATGGCTAAAAGCCAGGAATGATGAGAGATTTTGCCTAATAAATCAGAAGTTATTGGATTAGGAAGGTAGACAAAGCAAATTACCTATTTTTTTTAAAAAAAGCAGACCACTAATTTCCAAGCAATGATGCTCTGGTATAAGATCGCTTTTCAGAAATTTTAAAAGGAAGACTTCTCTACATACTTCTTATGATGATCTATTAATATATTAAAATAACTTGTAAACATTCAAGTTGATAATTTCATAAGGATTTTATCACTAATCTGTTCAGAAGCCCTAGCAATTTCAGTAGGGTTTACTCCCAAACAGTTGGTATAGACTACAGGTTTGAATATATATAGTTTGATTGTACAACGTAATAATTGTATGTGAAAAAATTTGGTGTATCACCTTTACAGACCTCAAATACACCTTCCATTAGATCAGGGTAATCGTAATAGCCTAACTCTAACTTAGTCTTCCTAAGTTGCTTAGGGAACTTAATGATGAATCCAGAGTAGGATCTTATATTCCAAGGAAACCACCACTTGATAACTGAGGAAATATGAGGCCTTGGGTATTTTTACCAACCTTAAAGCCAATGTGCTGGACAAAGCCACTTTCTGCATGCATTTGCTGCACCTTCTGCTTCCTCAGCTTTTTATATTTCAGCAGCTCTTTATATTCTGGTAATTCACGATATGCTACAGGGATACTTTCTTCATCCTATTTCAGAGAAAGAAAGAATTGCAACTTTTAATGTTACAGAAAGGATTAAAGTAAAAAAACCACACCTGCTAAACAAACTCCACAATAAATAGCAATCTATGATGCTCATGGCTGGTATATTGGAAAATAGTTTAAGATCGTTTTAAAAAGCTCAAGATAGTTTAAAATTGCCCTAAAAACCCCAAAAGCATTAGTACCAAAGTTCCACATAATTTGGAATTAAATTGACCCAAAATTCTTAATACTATTGAAATACAACTTCTAGTATAACTTTTAAAGCAGCTTTTATTTTTACATTTTATTGTTTCCTTATAAACCAGAACATTGAAACAGGAGATTTAAAAGCGGAAGAAAAAAATGCCCAAAGACTTTGTAAAATAGCAATAAATAAATAAATAAATAAAAAGACTTCTAGTGATTTGTCTCATATGATTTTTTTCCCATAAAAAAATAAAATAAAACCAGGAATTGTCTTATGTTTTCTTGTAATGGGGGGAAGGGCCAAGGCGTGTGTGTGTTTGTGCGTGTGCATGCATGCACGTGTGATCTTATTAAAAAAAACCTGTCTACTATATCTCAGACAAATTAGAAGAAACTGGCCTGGCCCTTCCCCAATCAGGTTTGGCCTAGTAGAAAGTATACTACTACATATATCTGTTTGGGACATCCTCTGTTAATTTGAAAAAGGAATACAATAGATAGTCCTCAACTTACAACTACAACTGAGCCCCAAATGTATGTTGCTAAGCAAAAAAATGTTAAGTGAATTTTGCCCCATTTTGCAACCTTTCCAGATTTCCTTAAGTAAATCTGGCTTTTCCATTGACTTTGCTTGTCAGGTTGCAAAAAATGATCACATGACTCTGGGGCACAACAAACCATCATAAATATAAATCAGTTGTCAAGCAACCAAAATTTGACCACATGACCAATGGAATGTTACAATGGTTGTTAAAGTGTGAAAAACGGCCATAAATCACTTTTTGCAGTGCTGCTTTAACTTTGAATGGTCACTAAATCAAGGAATACCTGTACTGTTTCAATTTTCTCTCCTTCAAATCTGAAACACTTGGGTTTCTTTTAATAAACTTTACTGACTTTTTATTACATTAAAAACAAAAAATATATCACTCAATAACGGCTATTTATGGTGCTTATCATATATCATTTGTGCAATATTTACAGATATTAATTTGTACATAATTATATTCTTATTCTATCTATATTGTATATTGAATAATTACATATCCTTAATCTGTCTCCGATCTATCCAGCTATATCACTTGGGTTTCTATTGCGTTAAACAGACACAGGTAGGTGTTAACAGATAACAGATAATCAGAGTTGGAAGGGACCTTCCTTGTAGGTCATCTAGTCCAACCTCCTGCCCAAGTGGGAGACCCTACACCATTTCTGACAAATGGCAGTCCAATCTCTTCTTGAAAGTCTCAAGTGATGGCGTTCCCACAACGTCCAAGGGCAAGCTGTTCCATTGGTTGATTGTTCTCACTGTCACAAAGTTTCTCCTTATTTCCAGGTTAAATCTCTCCTTGTTCAGTTTCCATCCATTATTCCTTGACTGGCCTACTGGTGCTTTAGAAAATTGCTATGATGTCTCCCCTGGTCCTTTTCTTTACTAGACTAGCCAAGCTCAGTTCCTGCAACTGTTCGTTGTATGTTTTACATACATACATACATGTTCACTGACCTTTTATTTATGCAGCCATTTCTGGGTCCTTTATATTAATTTATAGAACTTTTACATAACATTTTTAAAATTCAGTTTAAATGCAAAACCTACTGATGGTTCTTCCTCTGCTGCATTGGCCATGTGACTGTGAAAACAGGATCTATCTTCATCTTCATCCATAAACACAGGAGGTTCATGGGAGGTCATGAAAGTTGAAGGCTTGAAGAGATGTTTATTCAAAGGATGTTGCCGTCTACTAGAGGACTGTAATTAAAATAAGAGTTTGTGTAAATACTTTGAAAATTAATATATAAATAATTTTTATAGCACCACTTCAAACAGGAAGCTTCACATATTGCTACAGAGAGAAAAATTTCTAATTTTCAGCTAAAGCTCTTCTTGTCACAAAGAAAAACAACAACATATTCCGCAACAATGCATTTCAATACCTAATTCTCACAAGGAATCTCTTTTGGCACAATGGATATTTCTAATCATTGGTTCTCCCTCCTTCCGAAGAAAGGCAGAGATAATCAAACCCAGGTTTTCACAGTTAACCCTCCACATAGTTAAATCTTCCCAGTGCATCCTTTGCTCAAGATGCAGTCATGATAATTTGAATTAGTATTATGTAGCATGAAAATATAAAAGATAGAATTTTCTCCAAAAACAACTAACATATGACCATCAAGTACGAAGGCAGAATAAGATAAGATAATTTTATTGTCTTTTTTTTTTACTGCGAGCACACCCACCCACATTAAAAATGAAATTCTGTTGTCTGCTCTCAAGAGAAAGTGTGTATCTACCCAAACACATACATAACACACACAACCTTTATAAATATATACCTGTATCACACACACATCACTGTCCATTTTGAATACATAGAAGAAAGAGGAAACTTGAGAGTTCACAAAGTTGATACTATATGGAACAAAACTGTGACTGAATCTAAATGTTTGATTTCGATACCATGAAGCCTCCTCCCAGAAGGTAACAAGGAAAACAGCTCATGAAAAGGATGTGTAGTGTCCCAGGCAAATAAGATTGGATTACATGCACCAAAACAGATTAATGTACGGTTTTGTTACCTCTATTGGGCAAAGAAAACCTTCACATTAAATGCCTAATTTTCACTTTATATACCATGTGACCAATTTAAAAACTGACACATGAGATGAAGGAAAACCAGTCAAACAGCACTAATTAAGTATTTCTAAGAAGCCCCATATGAAGACCTGACAAATGAACGGAAAACAATATGACTTTTGGTAAGGGGAAATTTAATGTGAAATGTCTTAAACAAACTTTGAGTTATATACCTCATGAAAATACATATTCTTGTTTGTAGCTATTGTAAAATGTAGTCTGCTCCCTTTCTGAAAATGAGAGGGGTAGGAAAATTGTATTAACAGATTTGTACAACAAGTCTTAAGAATTTTGTGCACAGCCCACTTTCTGACAAAGTAAAATGTCTACTACAGAGTCACAAGAACCCTCAACTCAAGCTTCTCAACCACTAGACTCCCTTTAGGTAGTGTTATTGTGCTGTTGTTGTTTTTCCTTCCCTTTCTCTTCCTCCTTCCTTTCAATCTCCATATCTGCTTTGTCACCCTTATATCTATGTTGCTTATTGATTTAAAACAAAACAAGCTTTTTTTCCAGGTGACTAAGTGGTTTCTTTTTACTTGTTCATCCTCTACAGAAAGAAAATCAATAGTGCAGAGCTAGTAATGAAACCTTTTTGGCATACAGCTACTGTTCTGCTAACATCCTGTAAAACATGTGCATTTTAAAGAAAAGTCTGCACAATTAGTCATACACGGGCACACAAGAAATTTGCCTTCGCTTTCCTGTAGAGTGTTGAATCTGCATATAGCTCATAACTAATTGCTGGAGAGAAAATGCAAGAAAATAATTGTAGGAAGAATGATTGTGGTAAAAATATATGGGTTGATTTAATGAAGCAACCAGATGAAGAGTGTAGCTTCTTTTAGAAAGAAAATCTAGCCCACAGTCTCATAAATACCTCTCCCTCTGCTCTGAATCCTCTCCTAGAAATATATCTCCAAATCAGGTTTAGCAATTGATTACAACAGGAGAGCAAGATGGTAGTCAAAACAATTACTGCCCATAAATGAGGGTCACCTACTCCAGGAACTTCCAAAGTTTCCTCGCAAGTATAGCTATTGCTAAGAATCTGGAAGTCACTCAAATGTCTAACTCCGAGAGATCTTACATATTTATGGAAATTTGAGATCAAGAAAAATCACATAGATAGATATCTGTAGTACAGATGGATAGTTGCTTTCACAAAGGAGTTCTGTCACTTGGAATGAGGTATAATTACATCTCATCTGCACTCAGATGGCAAAAGTGCTGAGAAATTCCCATTACTTTCAATATTAAAAAAACAAGGATACTTCAGAACAAAGGAATATATGGACTTAAGTTTCATGGTAGCATTAAAAAAAACTCCTGATGGCAATCTTAAGATTAATCAGGCTCTGTAGATGTATTTACAGAAACCTGATAAGAAGCTACTTCCTTTCATATGCTTGCCCAATTAGATAGCAAGAACCCACAATTATTTGGATCAAGGCCATGCAAAACATTCACTATCAAGCTTTTAGAAGCAAACACATCCTGCGGGGAGGAACTTTCTGGCTGATGCCCTCTCCCGTATGCCCCAGTACAAATGCGAATGGGAGATCATAAATGCCATCATCCCTCCAGCCCAAATAGCTGCCCAAGTAACCAGCAGACGACAACGCCGTGACTGGCAAGACCAATCCACAAGTGACCTAACCAACAAAACTCAAAAGCGAACTACTAGCAGACCCCTGGTTCCGGGACAATCAACACATCTTGAAAAAAAGAGATGACCTAGCGTGGAAGGGGACAAAACTCTACATCCCAGAATCCCACCACACACTAGTCCTCCAGAGGAGCCACAACGCCAAACTGGCAGGCCACTTTGAGTTTTTAAAGACTTTACACTTAGCATGGAGGCAATTCTAAGCATAGCAATAAAGGCATAGGGAAACCCCTGGTTTCTACCCTTCTGCCATCTTCCCTGAGTCTTTGCTATTGTCCAATGCTCCGTGTAAACAGCCAGGGCTCAAGACTCTGAATAGCAATCCCTACTCGGGATTAGGTTGTAGAGATACAGAATAATGTCAGGTTTCCAAGTGATGAAACCCATTCAAAAAGAAATCAGCAAAGTCCCTCTTCCAAAACAAATTTCTTTTATTTAGGTAAGCATCAAATCGGCAAAGTCTGTTGTAATTCTGGACTTGACACAAACCAGAATTACATCATATAATATTGCAAATTAGAAATAACCTACAAAAATTACATTCCTCAATAGAATTAAATCAACCTTGCCTGGTATCTTCAATCTTCACCTCCAGGACTCGGGAGGGACAGTGGTAAGGAAAGTCACCTAGCCAAAACAATCCTCACTATCTAACCACTCCTCCAACTTTAAGAATGTAGTGAGCCTGAAACCCTACCCCCTTATACCAGCAAATGGAAAGAAAGAAAAGGAATATATGATGAGAATATAGAGCTAAATAAAATGGGCTCGGCAAAGAGGCATTTTTTTATTTTATTTTTTCTTTGGAAACCCAGTTATCACATTAACTGTCACTAAAAAAAGAAATTATTATTTTTTGTTTGCATCACTGGATGGTTTCATGAGCAATGGCTCTTATTATGGACTGAAGGAAGTCTCAAAAATTAATCCAAAGTCTTGTGATTTACCTTTTTAGAGTATAAATACAAGTTTGGTGTTCTTCCTGGAACTGGAATACCAGCTTTAGTCAGTTTTATGAAATATTTCTGCACTCTGCTGGCAACCTAAAGAAAGGGGGAGGGGGGAAACTATTAGAAAATATATAAAGATATAATTCTCAAACACTAAATGTACACGAAGACTTAATTTAAAAAAATATGAGTGACTCCTCCTGCTACCAAACTGTTTTCTATATTATGAAAAGATAAGAGCAATGCACTCGATTCCACTCATAAGACTCTCCACTCTCATCTTTAATCTCTCATCAATTTTTTCATTAAAATTTTTTTTCAATTAGAATAAAGTCACTTTTTCTTGGTGTATTTAGAATAAAAGTGCCTTTTGCAAACTTAGAATGTAATCTGAACTAAGAGATATTAAAAATATTTATTTAATATATGCTATTTCCCAACCAATCACACATCACAAAATGTTCTCAGTTCTGTAGCACTACCCCCGAGATAACCTTAGCAAAGGAGTCTACTACGGAACAACAGGATGGCATAAGTTACAAAAGCTCTCCCTTATGAAGCAATGTCTCTTGATATAGATTGGATATTCACCTTTTAAAAAAATACATATCCTTATTTCACTAATTCATTTTTCTTTTTAAGATTTAATGAGGCTATTAAGGAAGGTTATTTGTCAGCATGGGACCATGTATCTCTGTCCTTCAGCCAATCAATTGAGGCTGTCAAGGTTCTGTCCCAGTATTTGGAAGTTGTGGAGATCAGGATCGGAAAAGTCTTTGACTCAACTCTGCCAAACTGGGTGGTTTTGGATATTGGATCCCAGAATGGGAAACTTTCTATTTTAGCTTTAGGGTTGAACTCCCCTGCTCAGACTTATTGCACAAATTTAGGATCCTCTCGGACCCTCAGTTCTTGCTTGAAGAGCAGGTGGCAGCTGTGGCAGAAAGATATTTGCACAAATTTGTCTTGTATGCAAGATATATCTGGATCCCTTTGCCCTAGTCACTTCCTGCCTTATATGTGCTATACCTGGATTGTCCTTGAAAGCCATCTGGAAGCCAACGGATGGGCAAAAAATGCAGCACCCTGGGTAGTTATGGGCATATGCCCATGTAACATCATTATGTAGCTAGGTAAATTGGCTTCCTTTAAGCTTTTGGATGTTCAAGGTGCTGGATACCATCTATAAACATGACTGTATTTGCAGAACTGCCTCTACCCAATGATATCTGCCTGCCCCACACATTCTAAGAGGCAGGCACACTTCTTTAAAACAATGCCATTTGATTGGGACCCAGGAGATATGTCTTTCACATTTTGGCATCTGCCTTGTAGAATGATCCCTACCTCCACACCTGATATGTAAGTGACTTGGCCCAACCTTGTTGGCCTTCAGAAAGGCAGTAAAAACCATTGGCTTTTATCTCAGGCGTTGGAGGTGAAATGAGGGGAATGACATATATGGAAAGCCATCTATTGTATTTTAACTACATTCACTTAGAACAAACACAATTTTAAAAAATTGTTTTAAAAATCTGTTTTACCAAATAAAAGAAACTATTTATTAGTTGGCTAAAAATTAACAATAATGCAGTTCATTACCTGCTTTGCAGTTCTATTACCCAACTCATCCGCAATTTTTTGCCATCGCCGAGATTCTACTTCCTCTGGAGGATACTTCAAAAGTAATTGTTCAAGTTTTTTCTGTAATGATGAACAATGATAATTGTGAATACAATTTGATTTTTCACAAAAAAAAATATCTAGTCCTCTTTAGGAAAGAGGAATAGAGACAAAATAGAAAAACAAGATTAATACTATAGGATAATCTCACTTTAAAATTACAGTTATTACATTACCTGTTCTTCTACTGTCCACAGCTGATTAAAAGATTCAGGTTTGGTCTCATCACAAAGTCGCCCCCTTATCATCTGCTGAAATACAGTACATAACAAGAAAGGAATTTAGAAAATATGCATAACTGAATTTCAGTCAAATAAAAAGGGTTATCATAGGGTTACCAAAATAATTGCACCACAGTATATCAAAACTAAAAATTCTACTGATAGCAACCACAAAACCCATTCTTTCTACTGGAGCTGAACTAGCAACTCTTTGCTCTTCATCAATTACTATTAATCATAACCAAACTGGTAACAGCCAACCACCAGCTGTTTCCCCCCTCCCCCCAAAATACTTTTTGGCCTCCGTTTCTGATATGGAGAGATTTTTAGTCTTTGGTCCTCATTCACTACTATAGAGTCAAGTTACACATAAACTTCATAGCTGAGCAATGACCACAAAGTTGATTAGATTGAGGTTTTCTAGTCTCAGTCTGACACCTTAACCAAAATAGCACATTCTGAAGGAAAATACTGTCTGGTTTGTACTACTGAGCAGAGAATGGTAAATTACTAGATGGTTGCATTCCTTGCCTTTCAAGCAGAAAAACCTGGCTTCATTTACTGACCAAAAAAGGAAGAACAGCAGACCTGCAAACAGTAACTGGTAATTCACTAACAAAACTAAAGACCATGCAGAGATAAAAGCATATCGTATTTTTCAGACTATAAGATGCACTTTCTCCCCCCCCCCCCCCAAAAAAAATGGGGGGAAATGTCTGTGTGTCTCATAGAGCGAATACGGGCCCATTTTTGGCCTCCCAAACCCTCCACACATCCCATTTTTGCCCTCCCATGCACCCAGAAGCACTCTCCTGGCCAAAAACACCGGGAGGCAGAAAACAGGAATACGGGCACGTTTTTGGCCTCCAGAGTGCTTCTGGATGCTCGGGAAGCCGAAAACGGGATCTGGGGAAGTGTCCGGAGGCCAAAAATATGCCCATGTTGAGTGCTTCAGGGCGCCGGGGAGGGCAAAAATGGGACACGCGAAAGGCTTGGTAGGCCAAAAATGGACACGTTTGTGGCTGGCAGAGTGCTTCTGGATCCTGGGGTGGCTGAAAACTGGACTTGTTTTTGATCTGCAGAGTGCTTCTGGATGCTGGGGAGGGCAAAAATGGGATGCATGGAGGCAAAAAACTATTTTTTTCTTGTTTTCCTCCTCTAAACCAAGGTACGTCTTATTTCCAGTGCTTCTTATAGTCCATAAATTATATATTGACCTAACCATCATCTACTGACCTAATGGGAAGTGGATATTGTGGCTTTGAAAAGTGAATAAGGCATTGTAGCATTCGTCTGATGTTTAAGAATAATTTAATCAAAAGGCAAAGTCTACAATTCTTTCAAATAAATTATCTACACTTTTCAAAGAGCTTCTTTGGAAAATATGGGCATTACTTTAGTTCTGTTCATATTTACTTGTGGACGGTTGTTCATTGAAGCTTCTGGACAATCACTGAAAGGCAAAACGGAGTATGAAGTAGCCTCTCCATCCTTTCTTGTATCCAAAGGGCTTTTTGGTCTTGTAGGTAAACCTACAAAAAAAAAAAAAAAAAGAATTAATATAGTGCAGTTGACTTTTCTTCTATAAAGCACCATCATTTTATACTTACCTTTATCAAAAATAAGCTTGGCTCGTCTACTGTTACGCTTTCGGTTTCTGAATTCTCTTTCAAAATTCCCAAGGCTTGTGGTATATTGGTCCCAGGATATCTCTGGCAGCTTGACAACTCTTTGTGGAAATGGAAGCCCTACATCAACCTGACAGGTGAAAAAAAAAAGGTGAAAAATTTACACAGAGAAATCATCAAGTAATATGATATAAGGTTACATATACTTGAACCAATGTTAAGGCAATGCTGGATCTCGAGCTCTGTATTACTATACTGCAACACATTTAAGGAATTCTTCTAAGAGTAATAAAAGCACAGTACATAAAATATAGAAGCAGGAAATGATGGCTTAATTAAAATTGTTATACACAGATGCTTAAAATTTCCTCACCATTTGTTGACTTTTTTCATTAAATTATTTGTTCACTTTAAGTTTTTGAACAATTATATCCTGAGCGGTTACACAGAGACCAAAAAATAGAAACAAAAAACCTAAAGCTGAACAATGTTCAATATATATATATATATCCCTTTAAGTACATTTATCCCTTTAAGTATATCCCTTTAAGTACATTTGCTTTATTATTGTTCTTTAATAAAATACGGTCACAAAATCAATAAACTGATAAAATGACCAATGACATATTTAGCTGTTAGTTCCCAGTAATGTAATGAAGCAAGAACATTGGTGCAATACTGAATACAAAAAATACTGAAGGCAGAAAAAAATTGTTGCCACCATTATTCATCCAATTTTATGAACAAATGACTAATTCAATTTTAAATAAACACAGCTTTGGAGAAATGATTTTAGAACAATAGATTCAAGGGGTCCTCAGCAGAGATCACCAACTCTCCTACTATTACTATTGAGTCTCACTAACTGCAGGAGAGTCCTCAAACATCACTTATGAGAAGATTCCCATTGTTATACCTTCTTCTGGAGACTTTCCACAAATCCAATGGGATCTTTCAGTGCTTCTCTCTGATGTCTGCCTAAACTCTCAAGATCTTGGACTGCTTGAGTGCGCTGAGCCTCGAGTACTGCAATCGTTTGTAACAGTCTCTGATAACTACAGAGATAAAGGGAAACAGCTCACTATAGACTTCTGTGCACAAACAAACCAAACTGGGAGTAGAAATGAAAGCAAAAATAAAACCTTAGCACCCAGCACATTTATCTGATAGACTCAAGCAAAAAATATTAACAGAACCATGAATATTACAAGTATTTTTTTAAAGTCAGAAATTCTTTTAATATTCAACAATAGTAGTGCAAGCAACATTTTTGAAAATCAACAAATGTTGCAGATACAAAAAACTAGATGCTGCACAGAATAAGCTTTTTGTAACTTCAGATTAAGCTTCTAGCTACCTATACTGTACCACCAAAACACCTGCTGCCATCAAATGACTCCAATATTCTGAATCAGTATCAGTTTGATATTTACACAACAGAAAAGTGCAACTAATACATTTATAAATATTGCTTAAGATGATTTTAAACTTCATTGCATGCCTTCTAAAAATGCTTGAAGAATGAAATACATATATCATCTCTGAAGGTTTGGTTATAACTCCAATATAAAAAAACAGGGTGAACATTATAATTCATAAACAACTAGAGAGGACCAAGTTGGGGGAGGAGTATTAAACTACATTACACTCCGATGTTGGCATCATTTTAAATACCTGGGAAGTAAATTAACTAGATAAATTAACCCAGAGGTATGTGAAGAATGAAAACTTTTTAAGATCAACCCAAATTTTGCTTGTGCAAAATATTGCCCAAATGCAAGTACTCAATAATAAAGAAACAAATTGCTTAATATTTTGAAGCTGAATATATTATTTCAATATACCACTATTTCCTAAAAGATGGCAACGAAAGCAAGCTTCTTTGGAGAAAGAATATTGTGTAAGTGCATAGTTAGAAAGATGTCTCTATAAATTAATATAAAACATGTAATTGGGTCAAGTCAATCAAATATTTAATTCTAGAGACTACTGAAATAATTATTGCAGACAACATTCTAATGCTCAGTCAATAAAGTAATTTTAGCAATAGAAGAGAGTACTTGTAGTTCAGGCTTAAACTTTGAAGTCCTGAGCTTGGTTATTCTCTTGTAAATATTTACAAATCCCACTCCCTTCTGGCATTGATGATGTTATCTAGTTAGGTAATGAAACATTTGCAAGGGAACAACTAAGCTCAAAGACTACCAAGGACCCCACAGTAATTTTAGCTCAACTTCCAGTTACATAAAATATTAATAAATGTATTTCGAGCTCTATACCCAAACATCTTGTTTCTGGATGGCAGTGAAGTTATATTAAAGAGTTTAGGGATTCTCTTACATTTAATAAATATTTGTGGGAATCCTTTATAAAAATCAACATTACAGTGAATGTTTTCAATGTCTTTCAAAGGCTTATACTTCTTTCAGCTTCTTCCTGTCTTTCATACATAAATACAATAAATACTGTCCTAAAGAAGAAAAACTGGAAATACATGTAAACTGTCATGTAAATTATTTGGGTCTCATGGCACTATTGTACATATGTTGCAACAAATAGCAACAACAATAGCACTTAGACTTATATACCGCTTTACAGTGCTTTAGAGCTCTCTCTAAACAGTTTACAGAGTCAGCATATTGCCCCCAACAATTTGGATCCTCATTTTACCCACCTCAGAAGGATGGAAGGCTGAATCAACCTTGAGCCTGGTGAGATTCAATCTGCCAAATTGCAGGCAGCTGGCTGCAGCAGAAATAGCCTGCAGTACTGCACTCTAACCACTGCACCACCGAGGCTCTTAATAAACATAGTATGATGCTACTTTAATTATAAATGGATATACTGATTTCTTTAGTTGTTTAGAAGTAGAGCAGTCTGCGTTTGTAAAATGAAGAACCAGATACATGAAGTGTTTAGAATCAGTGACTGTATCAGCAATATGAGTATAATTTAAGCAACAAGTCATATTCTTGACAATCACATATAACATAAAATTGATTTGTACCGTTTCCCCGAAAATGAGACTTATTCTGAAAACAAGCCATAGCCTGATTTTTGGGGTGGACCTAATATAAGCCCTACCCCAAAAATAAGCCCGGGGAGGATGGACATGTCCCGCCGACCCCTGGGTGCAGAGCAGATAGTTATGAGTGAGCGCAGAGGCAGAGGCATCGGAGGGGGGTGGGAATAGAGAGGTGATCTGGACGTGCTGTGTGGCCGCCTGGCTCATGGGAGACTTGTGTGGCACCACCAGCAGCAGATGGAGGCAGAGGCACAGGGGGAGGAGACAGGAGATCCTGTCTCTGCCTCCGCCTGCTACCACTGGAGCTGCACAAGCATCCCGCGAGCCAGGGATGTGCAGCACTTCTGGATTATGTGTCTTCCCCCTTGCCTCTGCCTCCTGCCAGTGGCACTGCACAAGTTTCCCACAAGCCTCCTGTGAGCCAGGCAACACGTCCCGATTGCCTTCCTCCCCACTTCTGCCTTCCCACTCCGAATTAATGGTATTTGCACTGCACCAAGGAGGCTGAGGCATGCCGAGAGCTTAGCCCATTGCAGCCATGGGCAAGCAGATAGTGGGATGGAGGGGGTGGGGCCAGTGGTAACTGTGCTCCCACTCCCGTCAGCCGCTGTATTTGCCACCTCCTGCACTTTAAAAAAAAAGACTTCCCCAAAAATAAGCCCAAGTGCTTATTTTCAAGCCCAAAAGAAAATAAGACCTATTTTCAGGGAAACACAGCAACCTGAAATCATGAACATCTTGGTTTTGTTGACTGATACCTTAACTGAATGCATGGCAGAATTTCCTTACTGCAATTGAAGGTTGTATGCTTGGTGTATAATCGTGCTGGGCCTATGACCATGGAAGTATCTTTGGACAATGCTGGCTTCGACTAAGAAACTGAGATGAGCACTGTCCCCTTGAGTCACACACGACTGGACAGGGGAAACCATTACCTTTTTATATTCTCAAAACAAATCACAATAGAGAGTTACATTTTAAGACAAAACCTGAGAATAAAATATGCACAATTTTGAACTGATTATAAATTACAGGGCTTTTATGGTAGATTAGAGCAAGTGCCTTATGATGAAGAAATACTTTATATCACATAGAAGTTCCAGTGCTGCTATCATCAGAATGTTATATTTTAAATTTTTTGCATAAAATTATTTTTCAATTCTTTATCAGATTTATAGGTACACAGATGAACACAAACTTATTATTAAAGTAAATAGCCTGAGATAATGAATTCTACTCAGAAATTAATAAATCGGATAATGTCTAATTGATCAGAAAAAATATTGTGGAACTTAAAACAGAAATTTCATATTACTAAAACTGAAGTTATCAAACAGGATATTCAATAAAAATTATGCATTAACACAAGAATTTTCAGGCATAGACATCAGCTCATCACATAACCTAACAATAATAACTGTTCAGTGACAAACTGCAAAAAGCAGTATGTTTGATTTCTTTTGAAAATCTTTCTTTCCACATTGTTATAGTGCATAGATATTTTGTTCACTGCCAAGTTACCTTAAGGTAAAATGGGTAGCCAATAAATGTTACAAACAAACAAATAAAATCCAAGCCACTTCCTGACACTGATTGGATTTGTCTTTACCCTATTTGTTCTGACATTGGAAAGTAACTTAAGGTAACAATATCTAATTATTATTTTTACACTCTGAACTGTCAAAATAACTGCATCACAATCTGTTAACATCGTTAAGTTACATATATTATCAATGTTAACAAATCAATTTTTTGAAGACCTGCAGTGAACTGTTTTGTAAATCTGGGGATGGTTTTAACAGAGTTTTTTGTCACCCAGATCTTGTCTCAGCAATTCCAAATAACTTGCATTTCTTAGCCATGCTTTTGCATTGGAATTGCTCAGTTTAAGATTGGATTTCTTTAAATAGTCTTTTTCTGCTTTGTAAGAGTATCTTCATTTCCAATGCTTGACAGTTACTGAAGCAGAAAGAGGCTCCTTATTGTTGCAAAAAGACAAAACTATCACAATCTGAGCAGTTGTAAAATCAGAATATTTTCTCACCTATGGAACTTCTTCACAAAGCTAATTGAAGGCTAATCATCCTTTGGGGCTTTATTAAGAATTTCACAATTAAAAAAGAGCAATGAATCAACTGAAAGAACACCCAAACTTCTACACCAGTTTTATTCACTGCTTCGTTATCTTAACATCTGTAAATTTGACATTTAAATAGTACACGCATATTCAAATTTACAGAAAGATATCATGCTCAATCTATGTTTGACAAAAAAGAATGAAGGTTATGCTAACTTCCATTCATTTAGGAATTCATAGAAATATATACAGCGGATTACTCAAACTTTTTCATGCAACTAATTAAAGGTATTACACGTTTCACTGCATATTGCACAATGACATTATAAACCTTTATACTAAAATTTAAAAACCAAAAAAACACTTAATTTAAAAATGTAAGTATCTTAGAGAAGCAATCCAAATAAAAATAAATATAAACTATAAAGTAGAGCACACATTGTGAAAATGATTTTGAAAAGTGCATTTGATCCCACATGAGCCTTTGGTTTGCTTTAGAAAACTGTTGTTTTTTTAAGGTTTTCAAACTGTTTGCAGACAGCCAAATCTTTTTTTTTCCAGGATTGCTCAGAATAATAGTTGCTCTGCTCATGTAGGTTTCAGGCATTATCTTTATTCATATAATTATTTTTCTTCTGCAATATGGAACAAAATTCTGCAATTCAGATATAACACAAACTTAAAATATAATCAAGCTACATAGTAAAACGATACACAAAATATAAAAAACAAACCCTAAGCTACACTAAGGGCAGTATTGAATGTTTTTAACATGTTTCCCTGAAAATAATACCCAATCAGAAAATACGCCTTAGTATGATTTTTCAGGATGTTCATAGTATAAACCCTACCCAAAAATTAAGACCCAGTTAAGATAATCAGCTAGACCTATGGCTCTTTCGGGCCTCTGTTGCGGCTCTGTCAGATGATCCCACCACTGGCTGGCCCCTCCCCTCTCCATCACTCCTTGCCTGGCCTGAGAAGAGTGATGGCGGGGGATGGAGACTCACTCCATATTACAGAACAGGAGGTGACTGAGTGGGAGTGAGTGATGTTGAGTTGGTCACACCCACCTAGTCACACCAATTGTTAAATTATTGGCTCCTGGTGTTTTCTTTTCTATGAGAAACGGGTCCAAATGGCTCTTTAAGTGTTTAAATTTACAGACCCCTGAGCCAGACAGATTCATTTAGTACCGTATTTCCTCCAAAATAAGCCCTCACTGAAAAATAAGCCCTAATGTGTCTTTTGGAGCAAAAGTTAAAGTAAGACCCAGTCTTATTTTTGAGGAAACACAATATTTTATTTTCCCAGGTAAAGTTCTTTTCTCAATTAACTGACACTCTTGACTCATGTAAATATTCAAATAATGTGCCAAGCTGCCGATGCCCAATATCTGTTATCAGATTTCTCTTCCAACTATGTTCTCTATTATTTTAATTTTCTGTCTGTGATAACAAAATAGAAATCCTGAAAAGAATGCTAATAGTAAACTAGAAAAAAGAGCACTTGTATTTCTTCGTAATATTACTTTGAAATCTAAGTCAGATCTATAGTGAACCTTTCCTTATTTAAATAACAAACGTTGACTTTTTCTAGCTACTGTATTTTTCTCAGACAAAATTCCCTAGAAATCAGAAAAGATATTATGATTCAAAATGGAATATAGTATATGACCAAAATGTATGAGTTTATTCTAATGCTGAATTACAATTTAAAAGATGTAAAACAAAAACAAAAACACCCACCTCTCTGGTAATTCTAAACAAAGTGTGGACAAACTGTGGCACCTCAAGCATTGTTGAACTCTCATCATCCCCAAACACTGAGGCAAGAAATTAATCCCAGAACACATATCGCCACACACTGCCATACTCTAGAGTAAAGACATAAGTCACATGTGCCAAGTTTTCATCTACAATTTCATACTCCTTTATTAGTTTCAGTTTATAGAAGTTGGAATCCAAAGAAATTGCAGTGCACCAATTTATCTTCATCTGTTCAAATGGATATTTTTTCACAATACTTTTTAAAAAAGAACTGCTAACTGTTACTATAAATGGTGTGGACCCTCATGCAACAGCTGTTTACATAGCATATGCAGGTAGTCCTCCATTTATGACTAAAATCAAGTCTACAATTACAGATGTAAGTCATGCTGGTCACTAAACAGGTTGCCATTTGACCACACTTCATTTTACGAGTTTTTGTGGTGGTCATTAAAGAAATATTGTGGTTGTTAAGCGAATGCCACAGTTATTAAGCAAATTTTAGGCAACAGGCTTTTTTTTGCCAGAAATCAGAAGCACCAACTGCAAAAAAAGCTTGCAAATTTATTTATTTTATATGCTACCCATCTCACTGCTGAAGTGACTGAGTGGCTTACAAAATAATAAAAAGATATTAAGAAAAACCATGGTCATGTGACTACAGGAGGCTGCAAACAGCCACACACTAGGCCAGTTGTAAAACAGCCAAAATACAATCACGTGGCTGCAGGTGATAAGGGTGGTGGTCAAAACATCAAAACCAGGTCATAAGTAGTTCTTGGGAAGTCCATCATAATTTTGAATTGTCGTAAGCGACTGCTCATAAGCCAAAAACTACTTGTAGTGTAAAATTGCTGAATTATAGGCAAGATACAGTCCATTTCCTAAAGGAAATATCAGTATTTAATTTCCCTGAGAATTATTCTTGCATATTCGGCTGTGAAATTACGTATGAGCACATAGTCATTGGGTTATCTGGTAAATTTTAAAAATCCAGATAAAATCTGCTAAAATCCAAACTACAGCAAAACCTAACCCAAGAGTGGCTAAATGAAAAGGTTATAGAGATCAAAAGTTAACCAGTAGACACATAGAGTGCACATGCACAGCTCATATTTTTTTCAGAAGCATGGCTTATCATGAAGAAGCAAGACTCTTGTGTACACTATTTGATCATCCTGTCTTCTCTGTACCTGCCAGCCTAAGCAACTAATCAAACTCAGATGGTTATGTTTATAGTTTATTTTGCCTTATATATAGACACAGGCTTCTGGTTTATTCAAAACTTCAAAGCAAAAACTGATCTATGATTCCAACTTGCTTGGGCATGATAAGCTAGAATACTAAATAAATGCAGTTAATCATGATCAGGTAAACAGAATGATAATGTCCTTGATTCTGTAACCCTGATTTATAGGCTTTTAATTTCTTTTATCTTCCTCTTCCCTAAATTGTTTTAGAAAAAAAATAAAAACCAATGCACTGCACAGCTGTGCCAATTTGACACTATAATTTATCTCAAACAGACTAATTCAAAGTTAGAAATGTGATATAAACTTAATATGGTGTAAATACAACACTGGAAAAGGAATTGAGACATATCTGCAGCAAATAGGAAAAAGCAACAGAATACAATTCCTCATAGCGATTAGGCCGTATGTGGTAATGTAGTCAGGCACCTAATTTTAATGAATTCCCATGAAATAATTTTAATTAGTTTATGAAATTAAAAATGATTTCTGGCCTACAGAAGTAATTCCAGAGAAGATTTTCCAGGATAGGGTGGGGGAGAAAAAGAAATTGCATATATGAAATTATCCTGAAAAGAAAATGTAGTATCAAATCAATGCTGTTGACATTTACCAATAATTGCAGTTTTCATACAATTTTTCATCTATGTTCTTCTCAAGGATCAGAAATTAGATGGTTTGTTGATTTGGTCATTGAAAGAACTATTTTTTTTCTTCTCAAGCATTTAACAGTTTTCTGCAAATCAGTCACAGCTGTGATATTCTTGTACCTATGAACAATAAACACTCATCTGCTTTCAAGTGTGCTGAAAATATATTCAAATAATATAATAATCAATCTATGCAAGTCCAAGGCAGCTTTTCAAATTGAAACCACTCTTCAATTTTAGTTGCCGGTTCAGCAAGCGCCAAATGAAATTGCTTGACTAAATCATGAATTTCTTTTTAGAAAAGAGTTATTCATGCAGTTGATCAACATTATCTATTATCTATTAAAATAGTACTGATACAAAAAAAGCAGTCTTTCACTTGGAAATAAAAGCAGTACATGGTTTTCACCAAGTGGTTAACTAAATCTTAACTTAAACTTGATAGAACATAACTTAAACTATAAATTCAAACCATCATAAATTTTTTAAAAATCTACTGAATATGTTGGGTTAAAATCACAAGCCAAAAATGTTTCAGACTTTAAAAGATAAAATCAATATGCAATATAAAAACATATATTTTATATAAAACACGTTTTTGAAATAATACTGAGACTTTCCTAAATGATATTGTTCTAAATATAAAAACAATCTGCATCTTTCCTTTTCAAAGCCAAGACAAAATGCACAAATTTTCAACCAAATGTACAGCCCGAAAGGCAAAAAGTGATTTGATAGCATGACTTTTTAGGATGTTTGGTTCAATTTAAGTGTCAAAATGAATTTTTGCTTTTAAAATCAATCACTCACCAGCCCTCTGGTGAGTGGATCTCTCAGCTGATAACCGTTGCCTTATCTATTTAAAATCTTGTAAACTGCTCAATAGTAGTAACACTTATATAAGAATAATTATAACTTTAAACATATCTGAATTACAGAATTCAATATAAACTTGTTTCTTGCTAAATAAACATGGTCTTGGATTACATATGTAAACTGCAGAATTAAACTAGTACAATCATAAATTCTAAAAATCATTTTGCCTTTCCTACCGTACAAAGTAGTCCCAAAGATGAGTGTGAGTGTTAATAGCCACATTCACTTGTTACTAACACAGTTACTAACACAGTGGCATCAAGGTGAGCAAGAGTGTTACTAATTTGTTTTTTTCAATAAAAGAATTAGGAAGTAGAAAAGGTTGAACTCCTGTCACTTCAATATCTTTTACAGAGGTTAACTAATTAAGAAAAAATAATTTTCCTTCTAGACCAACTTCATATACCTATCTGCATTACTGATCTCGAGCCTGTGCACCAAATAACAAAATTGGAGCAAGAATGAGCTCAATTTAATAATCAATGCTTTCCGGTCTGCACCTATCAATAGGACATTATATTTGTACAGCTGATCTACATTACTCCTAATTCACAAATTGAAAGATTTTATTAATCAAATAAATGTGTAAGATAATAGATGGGTTTCTAAAATATGTTTCTATATTAAATAAAAAACCACTAAAATGTTAAAATGAAACTTGTGGTGTACAAAGTCTATTTCCAAATAAATCTCCAAACAGGAAAGTGCCATTTAAAAAGAATTTCCTGCTACAAAATTTATATTAAACCAGATTCACATAAAGCTCCTTAACTATGATGATAGATTTAAAATTGCTACTTTGCACTAGATAAAATTTAGATGTCTTATAAAAATGCAGTTTTAAAAAATTAGTCCTAGAAATTTTGAAAACTAGAAATCTGATTAACAAAAAAAAAAAAGCAGAATCCATGGTAACCATATTTACACATACTCTTTGTTGTGTTTCAATGCCACATGATCTGATTCAAAGTAATACACATCAGGTTCTTCTTCCTCTTCTTCTACAGAATGAAGACTGGCACTTTCTTTGGCAGATGGCAGGGGTGGAGTAACAAGTCTATTTTCTGAAGTTGATTTACTTAGTCCTTCCTTTGGGTGTTCTCTGGAATCACAGTAACTTTCCCTTTCACTTGGAGCAATTTCTGTGTTTGCACAAGATCCATTGATATTGGTAACACTTGATTCTACATTCTTTTCAGGGACAGTATGACTGTTCTCCTCAAACTGTCCATTCTCTTTACATGGAGAGTTATGTTTAATAGGGCTATTTTTTGTTGAGCCTGCCCTCCATGGTGATGTTCTCAAGGTGTATCTATGTTCTTGAGATTCTGATGTTGATGAAATTGGAGCCGAAACACAGTCCAAAACCGGTGGTTCAGGTTCATTTGAAGCAGTTGCATTATCGTAACTTTCCAGGTTGCTGTTGGTGTTTTCAGATTGCTCTTTTGTGGCAGTGCTATAACCTACCACATCTACTTCCTCTTCAGAATCCCTTAGCAAAGATGACTGGGTTTCATAAAAGGACCCCGTACCCGTACCTGACTCATGTATCTGGTTAACAGTTTCCTCAGATAAACAGTCCTTTACTTGTTTATGGTCCTCACAGGTTAACTGTTCTTGTGAATTTGTGCAAGGCACACTGTGGTCTATAAAACTGTCCTCCTTATTTCTGCTATGAAAAAATGATGTATTTCCATTTTTTGCTATACTTTTTTCCTCAGATGAACAGGAATCAGCATTATTCTGTGCACTGGCTCCATCCAGTTGACAGTCACCACACTTTGTAGCACTTGAACCATTCCCATTAACCCCATTGACAGACTGACAAGTTGTGAGTTCTTCGGTTACTGAAGAATGATTTAATTTTTCTGCACAAACAGTTACCTTTTTAACCTCCCTTTTATCACTATCGTCCAAAATAAGACATCGGCAAGCTCGTTTAGGCCCTGGATTGACCGTGACATTGTCTGATACTGAATTTTTATGTTCCAACCGATCTTTACCTGTTTTAGAAGGTAGCACTTCTTCTGAACTATGTTGCGGCTCTGAACGTAAACAACGCTTACGCTTTAAAACTGGTGAAAGAGGTTCCACTTGTTTCTTCTCACAATTTTCTCCAATTTGTTTCTCAGAATTATCCTTTTCTGAAGTTGAGAGGCCTCTCTTTCTAGGGCTTACCCATGATTCTTTAGAACTCTGCTGCTTGACATCATTAGCTTTCCCATTACTATTTCCCTTCTGTGTTTGCAGAGATTCTGATTTCTTCTTTGGTGATCTTGATCTTACTTGTGGAAGAGAAGGAACCTCCTCTGGATGAGCTATGCTACGGTTTCTTAACGTTCGGCCACAAAAGTTTTCATCCAAACCATTTAACCCCACTGTTGATCTTGTAACACGAGTAGATCGAGAAGCAGCCATACTATGGCAAGTCCCTAAAGTATGTTCCTCATGATCCACTCATTCGAAAACCTTCAAAGAAAAGTGAACAAAACAATGAGAAAAGCATTATAGAAATCATATAGTAACTGTACAGTATAACTGCACTTCTATCTAGCATAATAGTTTCCCTATTCCGATAACATGACACATCATATATAGTTTTGCAGTACTAAAAAGTTCTATGTTTAGCACTTATATTTATAGATAATAGTTTAGCTGCGGAAGCAACATCTGGCAATATATTTCATAGTAAGTCATGATTTCTATATGGTAGTTCTGAAATAAAAGATAAAAAAATTCTGCTATCATTGAATAACCCAGTACAATTGCATTTAAGAAATGGTGCAATGTCCTGTCAAGCTATGATATCAATAATTTATACATTCTAAAACATTAAAATCTGGAAATCTCAAAGGTCTGATAGACTAAAATGAAAGGATAAATCCTCATCTAATTTTCAGCAATGCATTGTTAATGTAACAATGATAGCCATCAATATTTTAATTAATCTTATTCTGAAAAAGACAAGGTGAAAGGTTTCATATTAATCTGGGATTGATTTGTCTAATCCAATTTTATATTGACTAAAGGTTATTTATACAGATCATGTTAGTCAATAATTGTATTTGTATTTTTTTATTTTCAGTTATACTTTATCAGTACTATTCTTTTTAATAAACAAAAATTGCTTTACATATTTATGAAAAACACAGATCTTGAAGAGAAATATGATTTATGAACAAAATTAAAAGCAATTATCACTGGTACTATGATTTTAATTAACAAATACTGCAGTAGAGAGTTTTTTTTCACAAACTGTAAGAGGAAACTAGTATAAACACATTGAATATAATGGATCAGATTATTATCAATTCACCAGTAAGAATTTTAAGCACTTTGGAACTAAAATAGAAGATATGTATTATACTTACTGGATACTAAATTTGTGGGGTTTTGCTGATCAGGCACAAATAAAGCTGGAACTGGGAAAGCAGTCAGAAATTTTTTAAAAAGCATATTTAAAATTGTTTTCCACTTTTTAATGAAAAAGACAGGCTAGTGGAAATTTAAAATGCATAATATTTCTGTAATGGGGTCAGTACTTGCAGCATTTAACAAAATGTAAAATTGGACTGTACCTATCTCTAAGAGACAAAGAAAAACAATAGCAAAAAAGTCGAGGAAAAGGAATTAAATTTAATTAAATTCCTTGCAGATAAAAGGAACACAATTTTGTTTTTAAATGATTCTTTTCAGAAAGATCAGTTCAACAAGAACATTTTTGAAAGCAGGCTCCGGTGTTTTATATGAGAGGAAGAAATATCTAAATAACCAAATAAACTCAAAACATAACTAAAGACTTCAGGTTTTATTGTGAAATGCAATTTTGACAGTCAACCAACTTAAATGAGAAACAACTAGCACATGAGTTTGAATTAATTATGTATGTGACATGATCTGTGTCACATACTACATCAAATTCTCCAATCACACTTATCCCAGATAGGAAAAAAACTTTGTTTTTTTGGTGGGGTAGACTGCAGAGAAAACTCTTGAAAGAAAACTGGCAAAAAAGTCTTACAAGGATTGGAAAGCAATAGAGTTATCAACATTCTCAAGCCTTTAATTAATTTTCTGGAAAAGCAGAATTTCCGGATTACAACTGGAGCAGAAAGGGAACTGGATTCCACAATCTCTGAAGAACAAGTCAAGAGTTATATAAAAACTGTGTTAAGTTTAATTGTTGTGCACTGTGGATGTCAGTTAATATTGTCACTTTATAAATTTATGAAAATTTGGCAATCAACCTGTAACTTTAATTACTAAATCAAGTCTGGACTACAGAAAGTATCTTATACTGCAGTTACAGGTTTTTTTAAAATATATATATATATATTATTTGGGAATCTAAATCGTGTCGTGCTATTATTGTGCTAGCACCATCTTGTGATTTACGGGGGCAAAGCATTAGATATTATATTCTTTTTTATCTTCATTTATCTGGAATCTTTTCCTACATTTGAAATTGGATAGCTAAATGATCTTTTCTCTTAATATTATTTTAATATAGATCATACATTGTAATGTTTTTCTTTTTAATAGATTTTAATCTTATCTCTATAAGAAGTTTATCTTTCAAAACAGAAAAGGGAAAAGAAGGACTGCTGATACTATATAGCAAACTCCATAGAGTGTAGGGGTGCGCACCAAGATCTCTAGCTCCACAGTAGCGCAATTTGTGAAATTTGGGCAGGTTCTGCACTCTAGCAAGTGGCAGGGCAGGGCCATACCCATTTGTGAAAGAGGCTGGGGCTCAGCAGAGAATGAAAGGCCAGCCTATTGCTTCTCCATTTGGCTGGACAAGGGCTCTGGAAGCCAAGGCCGCACAGGAGACAAGTGTGGCCAGGGTGGGGTTCTGAAACGTGGCACCAAAAGTAAGTTAGTGGTTGATGACTGGTTGGGTAGGAAAGGCCCAAACAGCTTGGGACCCCAAAGGGTGGGAAGGAGTATGGGATCTCTCAGTGGGTTGCGGGAGGCCTTGGGTTGTCGGAAGCACTAGGCCCCCTCCCCATAGCCTTCCCTACCCTGAGATACTTCGTGGACTTAACGACCCACACATTCGATTAGTGAATGCATGGGCAAAAGCAAGTTTTCATGTTCATTTTAAGTGATTCACTTCAACGAATCATCAAGTATGAATGTAATTGGCAGGCTCCATTACATTCATAACTCAAGGACTACCTGTACTTATTTTCCTGTCTGAATATGTATCTCACAGCTCCTCCTATATAGTTAGAACACAATCACTGAAAGTTACTGAACAAGAATTCAAGAATTTTCCCTAAGATTATTTGAAAAGTATTTTTATGATCTTAGTTTATACGTATTCAAGTATATACTCCAGTAATGATTCACTTTATGATCATCTCATCTTTTAAAAAAGATATACAGATAAAAGAATTTAATTTTTGCTAAACTGAAATGGTCTTTTATTTTATTTTTGATGAAGATTTTCCAGGAAATTCAAGAGTGATATAAAATATAATACTGATTTTATTTATTTAAACTATTGATATTCAATAATTTACTATGAACAATAATGTCTCCAAAATCGACATATCATTTTGTATTGTTTTCTAATAAAATGGAGTACCATTTACATAAGATAGCCTAAGCCAATTTTTAAAATATCAAAAGAATTGCCAAAAAAATTGGACAGAAGATATGTTACAGAACTTTTTAAAAAGGTAATATGGAATAGAAATGGGGAAACTCTCAGATGAGTAAATGGAGAATTTAATCAATTCTGACTCTGCTTGGTTCTTGATTTTACAATTATTTCTGGCCACAAAATAAAATGTTATTTCACAGTATTTGTGTATTTCAACCAGATGTACCTCAAGGGCGAAGACAGAAAAACTAACAGAGTTTGTGACAGCAAGATATGAATAACATATCAGTTTCAAGCAAAAATGAGCAATAATCCGTATTCCCCAGTTGATAATGGCTGATAATAAAAGCATTATTAAAGATTTGTACTCAAGTCCACTAACATTATACAAAAGACAGAACTAGTGGTTGTCTCTGCTTCGATTCTCTTTTTGAAATACTTTCCAAAGCTTGTATTATTTCCTGTTGATAAAATAGAATGCCTAAGATTTTTTAAATAAAGGATAGCCCAGAAAAAAGTGTTAGCTAAAACTAAAATCAATTACTAATGTGCCAGTTTAATGAATACTAAATACTAAATGGAACTGAGAGAGTATGGTGAATGAGAGAGAGAGAGAGAGAGAGACAGAGAGGGAGAGGGAGGGAGAGAGAATGCATATCTAACTGTACATACACTTGTCTGTGATGCTAATATCGTGATTTTCTTAATTAGTTAATTTAGCTGCTCAAAACCAGTTGTCCGATTAACAAGTTTCCAATTATCTTTACATAAGAAAATGCAACATAAAATGATGCAGGCAGTCATTAATTGTTTTAGTTCCCAACAGTGGCATCAGCTCTATGCAGCCAGTGTTAGTTCCCTAGACAATCCAGGAGTAGAATCTCTATGGTATCTGCAGGCTATCTCCAGAGTAATCAGTGATAGAAATTGGAGCTTCTTTGTGAAACTAAGCTACAGCTTTATAAAATTATAAAGCTTAAATACATGTATTGTTGTTCAGCTGCTAACAAGCACATTGAGAAAAGGTCCAAGCACAAACTGTTTGACAGAAAACAACCAAAGGTCAAGGATTGAGATATTCCACAATAAGCTTACCTATCAATCAATATTTAGATAAGCAGGAACCAGCACTTGGTAAACAAGACCAATCAAGGAAGAAACAATAAACTAATCAAAATTGTTAGGATAGTCTATCACATATTAACTGCCAACAAGCTCCATTCCTCCGTGCACTGATTATGTTACCTAGACTGGTAAAAAATGCATATGGGAAGAGAAGCAAGATCAAAAACCAAGAACCCAATAAAAATGAATAATTAATAAATTGGCCACAACATTATCCCTTTTATAGAAGTAATTGATCTCCTCTGTATATATATCAGCCATTCTCTCTTACATATCTAACCACACATATATAGACATGAAAGCCAGTTTTGTGTAGTGGTTAAGACATAAGGTGAGAAAAGGAGGAAAGTGAGTTCTAATCCCGCCTTAGAGAGAGAGTGACCTTGGGCCAGCACTTTCAGCCCCAGGAAAGGGCCAATGGCAAACCACTGAAAAACCTTGCCAAGAAAACTGTAGAGGCTTGTCCAGACAAGAAAATTATATATACAATACATACATTCCAATACTGCCTTCTACAAGAAATAATTAGAAAATTAGAAATATAAACAATAAAATGGGATGGACATGGTGTGAGAAGTAACAGCATTAGGAAAGGAAAAGAAGTGGGGAACAAAAGCAGATGAAGGTACATAGGAAGAACATTAAGGGAGAGAGAAAGAGCCAGTTTAGGCATTACTAAATGATTAAACTCCCAAGAAACAGCTTTTTTTCAAGATAATTTTCAATGTTTTCC